CACTCCTGAGAAGCAGCCCCTTCCCAGACTCCCGCTCCCGCCGCTTCCGGAAGCCCAGCTGACGGGCTGCTGGCACGGGGCTCCCGCTCGGTGTCTGGCGGCTGCGCCCGCCACCCGCGCCAGCTCCTACCCTCCCGCTCACACCTGCTCAGGCTCCCTGCTCCCCCGCATCGTGCCTCCCGAGTCGCCTGCACAGCCTGCCTGGGCGCAGGGGGCACCTGGCTCCCCCAGGGCCATCCCTGGGTCTCCCCCAGGACACTAGGTGTGGCTGGGACACTGCAGCGACAGGTGGCCTCTGGAGCGCCCCTCTGGAGCAGAGCCAGGCCCCAGAAGGAGCTGAGCGGGAGGGGGAGGAGGCAGGATTGAGAGCCGCCACGTGGACCTGGCCCACGCCCCTCTCTCTCCAGCAGAGCGGGGCACAGAGGAGAACGTCCAGGCTGGGTGTCCATGTGCTGAAGGTGGGGAGGCCTCCTGGAGGCAGGTGGGCATCCATGTATCCGACAGTCCAGGAGGGTGGAGGAAGGGGGACAGCGAATGGGGAGGCCAAGCCCTGGTGGGAGGGGCCACGCTGAGACTGCCCCAACCAGGAACCCGAAGCAGCCACAACAGGGGCCCTAGAGGCCGGGCCACACTGCTGCTGGAGACCCACGGTGGGTGTGCACAGGTTCGCATGCCCCGAGATACCACCCGGGGACACTCCCCAGCGGGCTGGAGCCCAGGGCTGGCCCAGGCATGAAGGCGTCTGTGCGTGCAGGTGCGTGTGGCACAGAGGCAGTGGAGGCTGCAGATATGGGCGTGCAAGCCTCCTCTGAGTGTGCACAAGGGGGTTGCTGGCTGGGTGGGCCCTCGAAGACAATTTGCCAGGATCAAGCCTCCATCAAACTGGTACCCTCGCTGGCCCTGACCTGGAACAAGCTCCTGGCCTGGGTTCTGTCATGGGAGGGGCAGCAGGCCAACAGTCCCGCCCGCCTCGTTCTCCAAGTGAGAGGGGCGTGGGGGGTACGTCCGGGCTTACTTTCGGGGGAAGGGGAACCCTAGCTTCCAGTCTGCACCAATCTGCAGCTCCAAGGCCCCCAACTCAGAGCCCTGCTGCCCAGGCTCCCAGCCCCTGGACCTGGATGCGGCTCCGGAAGTCTCACGGATTCTGGGGGTGAGCTGGCAGGCTATGCGGCCAGGCCAGTTCCCCACAGCAGCCCGACCCCTCTGCGGTGGACGAGCCGCGGAGACTGGCACAAAGCCCTCTCCGATCGGCCAGCTGGCCGGGCAGGCTCTCGGGGCCCACAAATCGTCCAGATCCGGGCGGTCCCCTCACTCACCCGGTCTCACGGCACGAGGCCTGCTCTGCTTCGAGCCACCTCTGCTGCCCCTGCACTGGGGTCCCCGAGGTGCCACCCAATGACCCCGGATGCATCCACGGCTCCGTGGAGGTGGCTGGACGAGAAGCAGACGCTGACACCAGCACAGGGAGAGGACACACAGAATGAGAGGGAGGGGGGAAGGGGCCGGAGCTCGGTGTGAGCCCCCTGCCAGCCGACCCTGGGAGGCGGGGGCGGCCCAGAAGCATGAGCACATCGCATGGAAAGCCCCTCTTGGCCAGCCTGGGAGAACCTTCCAGAAGCCCCGGTTGGCCCAAGGGCAGCGTCTCTCAGGCCATAATAGGAAAACTCTGTGGTTGCTGAGCCACCAGCCCCCGAACGGGGAGGCAGTGATGACAGTGGACGGGCCCAACCACCAACAGCCCAGAAATAATAAAAGGAAAGCAAAATCGGATGTAAGTCTGGTTCTTATTAAAAGGGTAAATTTAGCC